CTTCTTTACTTTCTCCTTCTTGGGGGTAGTATTGATCCCCTCCAAAAATCTTTGGCTTATCCTCACACTATGATCATGTGAGCCTCGAGGTTGGAATTAATAACCTATATATATATATATATATATATATATATATATATATATATATATATATATATATATATATATATATATATATATATATATATATATATATATAATATGTGAAGATTTCGTTTAGTGACATTAACAGATTGTTGGTAAAACTATTTAAATTTAAAAACTGCTATTTTGAAGCTTTTGTTTGGCTAGAATTTACCTCGGCCAGCAAAATATTTGTAAAATTGCCAAAAAAAAGTCCGTGAAAAAAATTGGAATAAAAAAATTTATAGTTGAAAAATTGAGTTGTCTCTAATAAGTGTTTGTTTAACGTCATTACTTTGATTTATGTATTAAAAGTTTTTAATATACCTTTTTTATTCTTCATATTTTTTTCATTAATTTGAGTAGGTAGTTGCTTCAAAGCTTCAAGACATAAGTAGACATTTTCTTTAGAATGTCTAACAACCTTGAATATTGATTCTTTTTTGGTTTGAGCATATGTATAAGATAGATTTTGAATATGTGATTTCTTCATTTTTTTCCTCTGTTGCTCTTTGACTTTTTGTCTTTGCTTTTTCACATACACTTTTCCTAACTCATTTTCTTTTGTTAAATATTAAATTAGATTTGATTAGATTTAATATTTAAATATAATTTAAGTTGTGTTAGCTCAAACTCAATTAGGGTTGTATATAAATAGTCATAGTGTGTATCATTATTTGTACAATTCAATAATATAAATCTTTATTTCCTTTATAATTCTCTCTTTCTCTCCTCAATAAAAGTGCCTCACACACTAACAAATTGGTATCCAGAGCTTCCGGTTATTGTTCTTGATCAAGTTTTCAAGAATTTCACGTCAGAGATCGCGTTTCTAGGACAAGTGAATCAACCGTTGCGAAAATGATTAGTGATAAGGACATTCCGAATTCTCTTCCAATGCTTCACAGTAAAAATTGGATTCGATGGAAAAAAAACAGATGCAATCCTTGTTTGGCTACCATGAAATCCTAGAAGTGGTTACCGACGGCGTTCTTGCGTTGACTGCAAATGCAGCCGACAAACAGAAAAAAGTCCACAACAAAGTCAAGAAGAAAGATTGCAAAGTTGCTTATTACATTCAAACGGTTGTCGATGCTGCTAATTTCGACAGAATCTCTCATGCTGAAACGGCGAAGGAGACATGGGATATTCTGGTGAAGTATTACGAAGGAGGTGAGAAAGTCAAGGTTGTCAAATTACAAACCTTGCATCGATAATATGAATTGTTGTCAATGGGAGAAGATGAAAAAGTTGTAGAATATGTGTCGAAGGTTCAGAAACTCGTCCATCTCATGAAGGATTGTGGTGAAACCATTATTGATAAGTTGATAGTTGAGAAGGTAATGAGAACGTTGACCTCTCACTTTGATCACGTTATCGTAGTTATTCAAGAATCCATCAATCTTGAAACCACTAAAGTGGAAGATTCGGTTGGTTCGTTGGAGGCGCATGAGATAAGGATTGTCGAAAGGAAAGAAGCTCAGGACTCGATACAGACACTGCAAGCCCAGTCATGGAAAAAGGATGGTGGTTCCAACAAATTCAAAGGCAAGTTCGACAAGACTCATGACAAGAAGTCTTGGTCGAATCCCTATAAGAATAAGATCAAAGATAGATCATCTGAATCCTCGAAAAGAGGAGGAGGAAATTATCGAAAGGACAAAGAAGATAAGAAAGGTATGCAGTGTTATAACTGTGAAAAGTGGAGACACTTGGCCAAGAATTTTTGGGACAGAAAAGACAAAGGATCGACAGGCAAGGACGAATGAGCGAACCTTGCACGCCAAAATTCAGATGATTCTGAAGGTGGTATGGTGGTTATGCCTGCAGTTGCAGATAACTATGTCGAATCCAAGATCTAGTTTCTTGACTCAGGCTGCTCGAACCACATGACTGGTCGAAAGGAGTGGTTAGCATATTTTGACGAGTCGAAGAAGAGCGAGGTAAAACTTGCTGATAATAGTTCGTTGCAAGAAGAAGGTACTGGAAACATAGTCTTTCAAATGAGTAATAGGGGAAAAGTTATGATCAAATATATGCTCTATGTACCTGGAATGAAATGCAATTTACTAGTGTTGGACAACTAGTCGAAAAAGATTTCTCAATTGTCATGAAAAATGGAGTTTTGAAATTGTTCGCCACCAAGAACAATTTGGTCTTAAAATCTCCATTGTCGAAGAATAAGACATTTAAGACTATGATCAGTTCGACAGAAGTTCAATGTTTGAAAACTGTTGCCGACCACAAGGATAGTTGGTTGTGGCATTTGAGGTTTGAACATTTGAATTTTTGATCACTTAATCAACTGATTATTCAAGATATGGTTACTGGTACTCCAAGCCTTGAGATGCCTGGAAAACTTTGTGAAGGTTGTTTAGTGGGAAAACAATCTAGAAATTTTTTCATTTCGACTATGTCAATGAGATCATCCTGCATTCTCGAAGTGGTGCATTCAGATATATGTGATCCATTCGAAGAACATACAATTGGTGGAAACAGATATTTTATTTCGTTTGTCGATGAGTTTAGTCGAAAGTTGTGAATCTATATGATCAAACGAAAGGATGAAGTATTCAAAATATTTAAGAGATTCAAGATAGTTGTCGAAAACTAGAGTGAGAAGAAGATCAAAGTTCTGCGAACAGATTAAGGTGGCGAATACACATCCAAGATGTTTGAAGATTTATGTGCAGAACATGGTGTTAATCATGAGGTAATTGCTCCTTATACACCTCAACATAATGGAATTGCTTAAAGAAGAAACAAAATCATATTAGACATGGCGAGATGCATGTTGAAGCAAAAGAATTTGCCAAAGTCTTTATGGGGAGAAGTTGTTTCGACTACAGTTTATATTTTGAATAGGTTTCCTACTAAGATAATGAAGAACAAGGTTCCTGAAGAAGTATGGAGTGACAAACGACCATCAGTAAGTCATTTGAAGGTGTTTGGCTCTATGTGTTACAAGTATATTCCTGATGCAAGGAGAAGGAAGCTTGATGACAAGAGTGAACATATAATTATGGTAGGATATCATAAAACTGGTACATACAGACTATTCAATCCAGTTAATGAGAAGATTGTGTTGAGTCGAGATATTGTGATTAATGAAAATTCTGTATGGGATTGGAATTCTAGCAATTCAATTAACAAGCCATTGATGAACTTTGATTTCGACGAAGAAACTGATGAAGTAGAGATCGAAGGAATTGTTGAGAGTCCAGTCGAAGTCGAAGAAGAAGCAGTTACTGACACTCCCGACACAGTCGAAGTCGAAGAGGTTGTGGTTGAAACAAGCCAAAGACCTTAAAGAAATAGAGTTCTTTCAACAAGACTTCATGATTATGAAGTGGCGGGTGATGATGAAATCACACCAGATGGAGAATTAGTTCATTTTGCTTTACTTGTGGGTGTTGAACCAATTAACTATAGCGAAGCTTTGAAGATTAACAAGTGGAAGTTAGCTATGGTCGAAGAGTTACAGGCAATCGAACGAAACAACACATGGGAGTTAGTCGAATTTCCAGCACATACAAAAGCTATCAAAATAAAGTGGGTGTTCAAGTTGAAATACGATGCAGATGGGTCAATAGCAAGACATAAAGCAAGTCTTCATCAATAAATCGTCTAATGAGTTTTTTATTTTCTTCATCAATAAATCGTATCCAACTTGTTTAAGAAGGGTCACGCTGCCTTATCTCACTTAGCAAGTCTTCATGCTCGCCAAGCAAGAAAAAACTTCCTTCACCCTTAAGTTACTTAACCAAGGGATCTTTTGAACCACCTTAGTTCACTTGGAAATATTGTCACCCCGCACAATAAGTTGTCTTGCTTCAGCTTGAAATAACTTGGCCTATAATAAATCTTTACATGCTTATGTTCACCTAGCAAGCTTATATCATTGCCTGGCGAGATTGAGTCAGCAAGGTTGTCATGTTTCTACCCTGTTTTGGCCATATCTTTTGCAGCGGAAGCCTCTACCACGCTCATCGAGCTCTCTGCTACTAAGCTTGTGCATTTTGTGATTTCTTGAGATGTTTTCTCTTTTACTTAGGAATATCATAGTCAAAATGTTCATACAAGTGATTTATCTTATAATATCTAATTTTATGATAGTGAGAGTTTTTTCATATGATTTCTTGTGTTTTAAGTTAATAAGTACTTGTGTTGAAGTATTTTTGACACTTATCAATGATGCATGGGGATGCAAGATCACATGATAATCTCAGTTCCATTATCATTACATATGGTTTTGATTTTACAAGAAAATTTGATGAGAGAGTAGTTAATGAATGTTTTAATAAGAGTCATAGTTTCAGACTTATCATGCATCGAAAAGGTCTAAAGTATAATGAGTAAAATCAACACAATAGTTATTAATATTGAAAACAATATAAAGAATGAGTTCCTATTGATATCCGTATACACCAATTTAAACGTATGAGATATTATAGAAAAAAACTATTAGGAAAAGATTGTATGCACTATTTAGCAAGGTGATAAGCATGGAAAAGCATGATCTTATGATATAATGATACGGAAAATGTTCAGGCCGACCACTAGCCCAAGATACAAGACGCCCAATTGAGATTTAAAGACTTAGAAACACACATTTTCCATACCTCATTCTCCCCGTTTTTAGGAATCAATTACCGACTTGGACATTGGATTTATAAACTTGTAGGTCCACTATCGCGTAACTGCTACGAAAACTTGCACCACCACTTCAGAAGTCCACCACATCAATTTATGCACAATGTTTGTTCTATGATGGAACAATTGTGCCATATGTGAGATTCTACATTTAATTTCTGTGAAATTCCATGACCATATTTCATATGAATTCAAGCATCAGAACACTGAAATAATACACAAAGATGGAAGAGGTAATTTTCAATTTTTCTCTCAAGGATCTTTACAAATCACCTGAACTAGCACCACCTGTGATCTTCGTTATTGACAAGATTAGTGAAGAACGTATGCTAGAGATATTTCCCCTATCAACGATGTAAAACCAGAAACAAAGAAGCAACACACATAGATTAATGGTTGTGAAAATCATAAAAAGATAAGAAAGATCCCTGATGCACCATGCTATACAATCAGAACCACCGCCACATGGAATCAGGGTGCGTTGGACCTTCCATTTGGTAGCAGAGTCCCAAGATTTCGAAGTACTTCAGAACCTTCATAGAGTTAGGGTTGCGAATGATGGGTTCGAGGATGCGAGAGAACCAGTTTGTTTCATAAGTTCAGAACCTTCATAACGGTAAAAATTTGAGTTTAAGCCATTAATTGACTTAACTCACACAATGAAGCCGCCACTGCACTTTATTGTTTCTAAAGAGAAAATGGAAAAAGAGTGGATAAAACCAAAAATGAAATAGAATAAAGATAAGGTACGGAAGTCAGTTATGCAGAGGGAAAGTATTAGCACCTTAAGCATCTACGGTACTCCGCAGAATCCATTTTGTTTGTTCTTATCAAAGAGTGTTATCTAAAGCTTAAACTTGCTAAAGGGAATGCATGAAAGAGTATTTACAAACAAAATAAATATTTTTTATTATTACACCCACCGCAATTGCGAACCTTTGTGCCTACGTACCTCATTCGTACAATAAGGGATCAGGGCACTTGTATTTCTTCTCAAAAAGAACAAAACTGCGTGTTGATCGATTTTAAAAGAAGAGATAAGTCATCATTTTTAAGGAGAAGATTCGTCTAATCGCTCACAAGGTATAAGAAAGAAAGACTACGCACCAACATGAGAGAGGATTTGAGAACACCTCTAGTACTCAAGTGGAAAAGTCGACGACCATGAGAATAGATGAATAACATCTCGATTAAAAATGAATGATGTCTAATCTTGAAAAAGTTTTAAAGTGAAATGGTGCATGAGGACACAAAAAAGTTTGAATGACGTTTGAATATTTTTTAGTCTTTGAAAAAGGATTTGTGAACTGAATTGTAATAAAGTCCGAAAATAAAAGAAGAACAAGGTTCGGAATGCACCGCCGCACTAGTCCCCCATAAAAATACGATTTGCATCTTTATCCGTTAAGTGTTTTAAGTTTGATTAAGAAAAAAATTTTGAGAAAAAGAACGCTTGACAAAGTCAATGTTTATTATGAATGTAGTTAAAGTAAGAAAACAAGAAGGCTTTGAAAAAAAGATGAGAAGATTTTGAAAATTGAAGAAAGGGAGGAGATGAAGAGACTATCCTATGTACAGGAATGTAAAAGATAAAGGTAAAGAAGATCTAACCAAACGAAAGCTCATATTTGATATAAAGAAATCAATATAGTGTTCTCATCACTTTGGACTTAAAGCCACAAGCAGATAAATAAGCCAAGAGTATACCAAGTCTCAAGTGAAAATAAATCACAAACAAACAGCATCAAAGAAACCCAAGGCATCAAATAATACTCAAAGCAATGGATAAAGCGCATCAGGTGAAAATAAATCACAATCAGGGGAAATGCACCAAATAAACTTAAGGTGTACAAACAGGATAGCAGAGAAATAATCCGAACATCTCATGTGAAATAAAAAATCAAATCAAGTAGATTAGAAACTTTTATTAGAGCTAAATGAAACAAATGAAATATGAAATGGATGCTTAATTAATTAACTAAAAGGTTGATTAAGTTAATTAATTAAATTTAGAAAAGTTAATTAGCTGAAACTAATTAATTTTAATAATGAAATTAAATAACTAAATCGACTTTTAGTTAATTAACTAAAAGCAATGAAGTAATATTAAGATGAAATGAAAGTTTAATCGATTAATCAAGAGTTGATTAACTTAAGTAATCGAGTTAAGAAAAATATATTAGTAAACTAATCCATTTTTAATAACAAAATCAAGTAAATAAATCAAAACTTGATTAATCAATCAAAAACGAATAAAAAGTGGGAAGAGGAAGTGACTATTTGACCAGTCTTGAGAAACTTACACAAATCAACAAACAAGTTAGCAACACATGAGAATTGAAGAACAAATGAAACTTACATCAAATTTCATGAATGTACATGAATATTTCTGAATCAAGAACCAAGAAAACAAATGTTTATTCAAGGAAAATGACAAAAATCAGCATTGTTTTCATCGTTCTAAACATGTTCAAAATCAAGCAAAACTCAAAGATAATCATGACTTCAATCCACAACGAAACAAGAAGCGAGAATTCGTGTTGCAACATGAAAAATTTAAATTCAACGTAAACTTTAAACTCTTAAACCAAATCCCGGACAGCAACTACGCAAATCTGTTTGTTATCGCACAATAAAAACCAACTCATACATGAACAACAACCCAAGGAAACAATGCTCCAACTAAATTAAATTTCGAATTCAAAACCAATTGAAACAAAAATACTAACAAAATGAATCAAGTGTAATGACATGACAACATCTCAAGATTCACACCAAAGATAAGCATTGACAACACCAATCTTAATCATTCAAAATTAATCCAAGTAGCAACGTTGACAAAAAAATTTACCACGATTTTTAGCACGAATCAAATACCACCATCAATGGTTCACTCAAATGTAACATAAACAAGCATGGTATCGACTTCAATCCAATTCAAAACAAATATCACAACACTTCAACATACACACACATGACGGCATCCGGTACAATAAACACGACACGCGACTCAAACGGAAAACAAAAAACAAATTCAAACTTGCTTTACGTGTTACCGTTATCAAAATACAAACAACTTTCAACACAAAAAGTAGTGAAATGCCAACGAATTATCAACCGATTTTTTACACAAATTTAACACAATATCACACAACGTAACAAGCTAATTCAAACAGTTGATGTCGAAGCTTACCGTAATTACTCGAAATCGTCATCGTCGGAAAACGTTGATGTCGAGTTGTGCGGAAGGAATTGCGAGCTGAAGCTTGCAGTGATGGTAGTTGATGTGCGGAAGATTGAATCGGCGACTGTGAGGTGGTTCTGCTTGCGGAAGATTGAATCGGCGACTGTGAGGTGGTTCTGCTTGCGGAAGATTGAATCAGCGACTGTGAGGTGGTTCTGCTTGCGGAAGATTGAATCGGAAGACGGTGTTGACGGTGAGAACGGTTTGGTGAGTAGAAGGACGGAAGCTGATGGAAATTGATTGGAGGTGAGTAATGAGACGGAGAGGTTACGACAGATTGGTGTTTAGAGAACAGAGAATGGAGAGTGAAATTGAACGATGAGGCTGGGTGATGGAACTGGGTTAGTGCTGAACGTTGATGAAATTGTGGTTTGATAACAGTGAGAGTTTATGGTGATGATCATGGTTGGAGAACAGTGAGAGCCTCTTTTGATTCAAGTCTGCGTTTTGTTTTTTGGTTTAACAATCCACCTGCCTCCTCTTTTACGATCCACCACCTTTCTTGTTATTAACAAAACCTTATCCTTTTTTAGGTTTTAGGCAATCACCAATAAACCCCTCGTGAACATATTTTTGAGATGAAATTAAATCGACATGGTTAACTCTGGTATCAAAAAGGAAAAACCCTGGCGAGAAAAAGAGGTTGGTTCGCGTACTGAAGATGAAATTAAGGCTTTGAGGCCAACTCTAAACTTTGACCTTGGAATTTCCTAGGAGAACAGGAACCCAATCCCGATTGTTAAGGACCAAAGACTTGTTAAGACCTTAGAACTCAATCAATATTTAATTAAGTATTTCCAATATTCACTCAAGGGCTTAATAATTTAATAACCCCTCAATATAATATTTTCAATATGAATACCATTATGTTATCAGTTGAAATATGCATGAATTTCCTTTTGAGAAAACATGGCACAATAAAATAAAGCACAATTAGCTATAACCAGTGCACCCTTCTTAGAAGCTAGGCACTTTAAGAGCATAGTCTTCTTAGAAGCTGGCCACTTTAAGAGCGTAGGCGGTGGAGCCTGTAATACATCAACCTCAAACTAGGTTCAAACCTGAGTGTGGAAAGGGGAAGCTTTGGTCGTGAACGACCCCCAACAACGTAAAAGAATTACACAAATTCTCAACAAAAAAATAGACAGGGAAGGGAAAAGCGTTAAATAATTAATCTAGTTTCCATTAAATGGGATGAGTAAATGCAGAGCGCCGAAGAATTACTCCAGTTCCCAACAAATTGGATGGGAAAAGGCAGAGCATCAAAGAATTACTCCAGTTACCAATAAATGGGACGGGTAAAGGTGGGACGTTAAAGAACTACTAAATTTCCCAAGAAATGAGACAAGTAAAGGTTGGGCGTCAAAGAATTACTAAAGATCCTAATAAATGAGACAAGTAAAGGAGAAGCATAAAGAATTACTTCAGTTTTCAAAAAAATGGGACGGGTAAATGTCGAGTGTCAAAGAATTACTCCAGTTCCCAACAAATGGGACGAGTAAAGGCGAAGCATCAAAGAATTACTCCAATTCCAAACAAATTGGGCATGTAAATCCAAAGCATCAAAATATTACTCCAGCTCCCAATAAACGTGACATATAGAAGCTAAACTCCAAAGGTTAGCCCAACACCAAGTTAAAGGATTAACAAAGTTGAAACACCAAAGCAAATAGAACAAGTAAACCATGAATGGAAAATAAGTTTAATTAATATAGAAATGTCATTACAAATCTTAAAGTGGCGACAAATGCATAAAGGACAAATCAAAACACCATAAAATTTCTTATCACAACCCCTTCTAGGGGCCTAATCACTAACAACTATAGATTCATCCTTGGCAATTTTCTCTGGACCCAACCCTAACCTGGGAGCCTAAATACTCTGGCATAGTAGCTCCACCTGTTTGGATGCATCCTTGAAAGCTTCAAATATGGTCTTAAGACCCTTATCGACAACATCATCATGTATTTTTTTCAATGCTAACAACTTCTCCATGTGGGTCTCCCGCTCTTAAACCCAAGAATCCTTCTCCTTTTAAAGGGAACCTTCAGTTGCAGTAACCTAGAAGGTCAACATCGCCATAGAAACAATCACCTATTCAAAAAAAATTTCCTTAGCTTCCAAGTATTCTAGTTGTAGTGGTAGAAATGTTTAAGACTAAGCCATTGAATTGACTAGACTTATACAGATCAAAATAAAAATCGCCATTTTCCATTTTCCATTTTCCTAGAAGGTTTTTTCTGATTACCATTTTCCAATAAAAAAACAAAAAATAAAATCACAATTTGGGAAACAAAGACAACTTTTATTATTGATTTTAAAAATCAAAGCAAACAGATAAGCCCATACAATATCAATACTTTCACCTTGGGCAGAGTGAAAGTTTTTCAAAAATATTAACAAAAATAAATTACTTTGAAACATGTATGCAAGAGAGAACATCAATAGTGATCCAGTTCTGAACCCTAACTTTGTGCGTCACATAATTTGGCATTTCTGGCTCTGCTTCATCTTCCATAATGGCATTAATCTCGGAAACAGTTGGATGAAGATAACCCCCGCTACGAAAGATGTCTTGATACTTTCCTGCAGCAGACTTCGGCTTCATGCTTTTTCCTTTATCATTCTTCACAGAGAACCCCAAGCCAGCTCTATTCTTGTTTACAGGTAGATCAACAATCTGTCCTCATACTTCACTATGGCCATTATGCACAACCTGCTGAGCATCCTTAAACAAAGCCATAGAATTCTCATTTCCTCTTATATTATCAATGGATAAAGCTTGGAACTGGGTTCTAACAGCAGCTTCATTCGCCTCCACAATGTTGAAAGAGGACAAATGAGATACCAATAATGCATGTTCTCCATTTATAATTACCACTTTTCCTTCATGCATAAACTTCAACTTCTGGTGTAAAGTCAAAGTGACAGCCCCTGCCTCATGTATCCACGACCGTCCCAACAAACAGTTGTAAGTGGGTATAATATCCATGACCTGGAAAGTAATCTGAAACAAATGTAGGCCTATATGAATATGCAAGTCCACTTCACCAATAAAAGGTTTCCTTGATCCATCAAACGCTTTCATAATAATGCCACTTGGGCGCATGGGCGTTCCTTGATATTTCAACTTCATAAGTGTGCTCCATGGTATAACGTTCAATGCGGATCCATTATCAATCAACACATTGGATAATGAATCATTCTCACAGTTCATAGAGATGTGGAGGGCCAAATTGTGATTCCTTCCTTCATCGGGCAGTTCATCATTGCAAAAACTCAAGTTATTACATGATGTAATGTTCCCTACCACACTGCTGAATTGGTCTACAGGCATATCACTTTCCACGAAAGCTTGGTCTAATACCCTCATTAAAGATTCTCTGTGAGCAGAGGAGTTCATCAATAAAGCCAAGATAGATAGTTTTGAAGGAGTCTGCAGTAGCTAATTTACAATTATGTAGTCGCTCATCTTGATTATCTTTAAAATATCATCCACCTCTTTTTCTAGCGTAGCTCCATTAGATTCACCCACTGCCTTCTTGGGTTCAACATTTTCAACCATTTTCTTTCCAGTACTAGCATCTCCACGAACAATTGGTGCAAATATACGACCATTGCGGGTCACTCTGCTAGTCTCAGCAATATTTCCAACATTAGGCATTGGCTGGATGGGAACTTCCACGCCATCCTCTAAAATTGTAGCATTATATTTGTAGGGTACAACCTTGTCTGACTTGTAGGGGACATGACCCGGTAAGCTAATCACCAATGGAGTAATAGCTGACTTGCTATGATATTCAACTTCAAAAGGGGTGGGTGCACCAAAACAAGGCACAATAACATTTACTCCCTCTTCAACATATTCAGTCATTACAGAGTCATCTCTGGAAAACATATCTTCGTCTGAGGAGAAAAACTCATCCGCAGAGGCATACTCATCATATGACTCTTCTTCAGCTAAACAAACCTCGATCTCATCAACCTTATGGTAATCATGCCTTTGGCCTGTAACCTTAATAGTTCCATTATCCAATAACAATTGAATACCTTTCCTTACATTGAACATCCTCGGGAGTCCCGTCAACAAATTGGGAAAGATCCATACTGATGTTCCACCTGACCAGCCATATGGCAGAAAGTAGCATGCAATTGTACAAGATACTCATTCATATATTCCACATCAAAGATTCTGAACTCTCCAGGACATCCAGAAACCATGTTTACTTCCTCTTCATACTCTGCCCTAGGCCTGATATGTGGATGAGGCCCTCATCCATCATCTCCTGCAAATCAGCCTTTATCTTGTCACAACCTTGTATATCCATACTATAAATAGCACAACCAGCATGGTCATGCGTATAGTAGCTAAATTTACAGAGGTCTGCATGCATTTTTACCAAATCTCCTTTGACCAATTTAATATCAAAAATCTAGAATTCGCCTGGACAACCGGCCACCATGTTCATAGCATTTGCTCCTTCATGCTTTGGCAAAGGATTATCTTTCACCCTAGGGCCATCATCTTTGAAGGATAAGATACCAGACCTCACCAATTTTTGTACTTCAGTTTTCAAAGGATAACAATTCTCAACATTGTGCCCTGGTGCTCCCTGATGAAAAACACATGTTTGGTCTGCCTTGTAATACCAAGGCAATGGTGATGGTATAGTGAGAGGTGGTCTGGTCTGAACCAACTTATTTTAAATTAACGCCGGGAGTAATTCTGCATAGCTCATAGGGATATGGTCATAACTCTCCTTTCTCTGATTATACCCTTGATTCCCCTGATGGGATGGTCTCTGATAAGGAACGGTGGTTGGAGCTACACCAACAACTAGAGTCACTGAGGCAACCTGTTGATGACGCTGATAATTTCTTCTAGGAGGATTAAACCTCCTCTCTTGCATAACATCATTTGTATCTCCTTCCTTCTTTTTGGAAAACCCATAGGATGACTTCTTCGTACTTCCGGAACTCTCACTTTTTGTTAAACGGCCCTCTCTTACAGCCTCTTCTAAAAGGATACCCATGCCCACCATTCCAATAAACTCACTTGGCGCGCTCGCTACCATCCTCTCATAGTAGAAATCACCCAGAGTCTTCAGGAAAATCTTTGTCATCTCCTTTTCTTCCATGGGAGGAATCACTTGGGCGACTACCTCACGCCATCTCTGTGCACATTCTTTTAATGATTCCCTGTCCTTCTGGACCATGGCCCTGAGTTGATCACGGTCAAG